AAGTATTTGAAGGATTGCTGAAAAGCATGGAGTGAAACACAAGTTTGCTACCGCTTATCATCCTCAAACAAGTGGGCAAGTTGAAGTCTCCAACAGACAAATCAAGGGGATACTCGCTCGGGTAGTAGGATCTTCCAAGAGGGATTGGGCTTCAAAACTAGATGACACTTTATGGGCATACCGAACTGCCTTCAAGACTCCTATAGGAAGGACACCATTCCAAATGATGTATGGAAAGTCTTGCCACCTTCTAGTAGAAGTGGAGTACAGAGCCTTATGGGCTTCAAAGTTATTAAACTTAGATATTACAACAGCTTAGGAAAAGAGAGTCCTAGATCTCCATGGGCTTGAAGAATCAAGACTTGAAGCCTATGAAAGCTCAAAGATCTATAAAGAGAGGACCAAAGCTTTCCATGATAAAAGCATCAAGGTGAAAGAATTTAAGGTTGGTGATCAGGCCCTCTTGTTCAATTCAAGGTTAAAACTCTTTTCTGAAAATTGAAATCGCACTGGTCCGGCCCATTCGAAATCAAAAAGGTATTGCCTTTTGGAGCCATAACTCTTGTTTGCAAGAACGGATCTGAGTTCACTGTAAATGGGCAGCGTTTGAAGAAGTATATGGCAGATCAAGTGTTTCCAGCAGGGATATATTTGTCCTTGCATGACCCTCCTACTGCTTAAGCAACACAAGTCAAGCTTAGTAACTTTAAACAAGCTCGCCTGGGAGGAAGTCCCAGCGGTATCCTTTTGTACTAAGTTTAGGGTAGCATTTTTGTGTTTTGGTTGTTTTAGTTTCAGAAATTAGTAGTTTAAAGGTGGCTCCGATCGACCAAAAACTATGAATCCGATCGAGCAGCCACAAAGTCCGATCGGATGCGGTAAGAGCTCCGGTACGAGCCCGAGTCCGAAGATGCACAAGAGTAGTCACTTGATTACCTGCCCGATCAAGCATCCGACCAGGCAAACGAGCAGCAGGTCGATTACTTGACCGAGTACACAGTGGAAGAGCCAGTCGATCCGATGTACTGCACCATCAACACGGAGAACATCCCAAGCTACACCTATGATCAGATGAGCCAAGTTATGGGCTCTTACTTCTTCAACCCATGAGGTACACACCTTCTCTATCTTATTGTTTATACCGTTGCATTTCATTTAGATTTTATGTCGTTTAGATCCTAGATCATTCTCCTTCCTTTTGTTACACAGGGTCTGTGTAATTTAAGTTTGGGGGATTGTCTAGGATAGCATCTAATCATGTTTTCTGTGATTCTTATTTTCAAATTTTTAGCATGTAGTCTTCTATTCATCTATGTGCATCAAAAATCCTAAAAGTTTGATAAATTTTCGTAAAAATCTTTAAAAAAACAGAGTGATCATATAGTTGCATTTGCATATTAGTCTTGTTTTAAGACGTTGCATTTAGTATCATTACATTTGCATAGGGGATTAGGATGACTATAACCAAAGAACTTGCTGTTTCATTAGACTTAGAATCAATGCCCTCGTCTATAGTTGTTTAATGCATTCATATGAGCTTGAATTGAGACCGCATCATTCTTTGATCGCATGATTTGAATTCTAGTCTAAACTGAAGCTTGCTTTTATATGATGCCATTCCTTATTCATTAGAACCTTAATTGAATTGATAATTATATGGTTGTGATTTGTTTCAAAGTCATGGATACCTTGTATACATACTTGGATCTTCTTTCCCTCTTTTTACCACTCTTTTGTTTATCCAAGTAGCTGGTCATAACCTTGACCAGTTAACCACACCCTAAAAGCCTTAACCTTTCCTTCAAGCGTTGTATTAATTCTGAGTGGAAGGCCTATTTTATTGGATTGAGCTTTAAATAGGATCTTCAGTAGTTCTGATTTGCATTTTTCGGATCAGATAGGACTAGGATGGAATCTACTTGGGTTTTGGGATTTGTTGGAATGAATAAAAAGGAAGAGAAAGAAATGAAAAGGGAATGAGTTGAGTCTTTGGGAGAGTAAAAGTTTCAGAAAAGTTCAGAAATTCTAGTGAAAGATGTGTGGGGAATGCAAAGTATAGAGAGATGGTTCTGGATTTCAAAGAAAAAAGAGAAAAGGATGAGAATAACAAAAAGCTTTGATGTCTTAAGTAATAAGAAGAAAGAGAACTATAGTATTTATTAAAAAAACCCTTATCCACTAGTTATTCATAAGAAACTCTCTTGAGACTTAGAACAAAAAGGGAAAATGGGATGAAAAGAGTTAAAGGGTAGAATAAGACCATATGGGTTTAGACATTTATAATATCACTTGCGGCCTTTGGGTAGTCAAGATGTTATTCCTGAATGCATTTGTTGGTCCTTACCTTTAGCATTCTCCTAAAATCTCAATCTTGTTCTTTGTGAGATCGCAGCACTTAAACGATCAAACCCTCACTAAAAGGAGACCCTCTTTTTCTCTTAAACCTTTTCATACCTAGCCAAATGAGTTTGAATTCACTTCACATCCAGATTCATGGTTACTACTTAAAGAATGTTAAAAGGAGTGGTTGATTTGAATGCTTGCCTAGGTTTTATGACTGATGACATCTTGTATTGAGATAAGCATGGCTAAGGTTTTCATAGTATGGTCTATATGATTTGCATTCTAGAACTATAGACAAGGACATTGATTTTAACTTTAGCAGCAAGTATTGGTTATGAATCCCCACCTTTAAACCTCTCTTCCTACTTTGAATTTGCTTGAGGCCAAGCAAAGAATAAGTTTGGGGGAGTTGATGTGTCTGGATTTTACTCCTTTTAGCACTAGTTTTATGCATTGTTTTTGTCATTCTAGGTCTCATTACTTGATCATTTATGCATATTTACCTTGTTTTGCTTCACTTGTAGAATCTAGGTCTTGCGTTGCATGCATTGTAGTTTCTGTGCATAAACAGGTGTTTACCAGAGGGAAAAGGAGCAAAACAGGCTTAATCGACCAAGTGTAGATGTTGCACCCGATCGAGCATGAGGATCCGAGCAGGGGAAACGATCGAGTATTCGAGTGAACAAGAGAAGCAATCGACCAACCATCCGATCGAGCCATTCGACCAGACCGATTGAGTGCACGACCAAGCACCTGTAAACCAACTTCCTATTTTGTCTTTTAGTGGTTTAGGGCTACCTAATCTCACTATAAAAAGGCTATTTGCCTAATGACTTGGGATATCGAGTTGTATTAGGGTTTATCTTCATTTTGCTTTAGAATTTCCAAAAATCTTGTAACTTTCATATCTTTCGATCTATTGAGTATTTTGTGTTGCTTCTTTGAATTATTTTGCTTATCTCTCTTAGATTTATCTAGTTATGCATGATTTAGAGATTTCTGGGTTTGTGTTCTTGATGATGAATCTCAGATCTGAGTAGATTCATTAAGTTTTGGGGATGAGTTAGATGTGTAGGTGGAGAACTTTACGTAGCTTGGTTGCCCATAGGTAGAAATGTTTAGATTTCCTTCTGGATTAGTGTATATAACACTAATCCAATTCTGATCAAGTGGTGATTAGCTTTCACGCTTCCACGCCTGAGAGGTGTTCGATAGAATGTCTGATAATCTAATACCAGAGAATTTCATGTCTAGCCCAAGAGATTGGTTGTCTAGAGTGTTATTTGACATTTATGAGCTGATTATTAATGCCTATTCATTTCATGTTTCATCAACCAGAAGTTGAGATTATGAAGTGATTTGAGTTTGATAGCCTTTATCAAGAGATTGAACTAGTTAGCTTATGAGCTTGTTGTCTAGAAAACATCACTGTTAGTGTTTGGTTGATTTAGCAACCTAGTGAACTTAAAGATCTCCACTAAAGTCACCATCTCATCCCCAAAACCTCCCTTTAATTGATTGATTACCTTGCTTCATTTCTGTTCTTGCATTTCTAGCTCATTGCATCTTCTTACTTTTATAGTTTCAGTTCTGTTCTAGTGTTACTTGTTTTCAATTCAGTAGTTGGTAGTTTAAACCCCCTTTCTGCTTGTCTTAACTTGTTAATCATTGATTGCATCTAAACTGATTGCACGCGTCCTTATGGATCGATAAAACCGTTTATACTACAATTATACTGGGTGATTGATACTATTACCAGCTCAAAACATGTTATCAAAATGTGAAGAAAAATTTGTAGAAAACTGGAGTGAAATTATTTGTAGGAAATTGGAATGAATAGAGATTTCGTAGGTAAATAGAAGAAAATAGTTTGGTAGGAATTACCCTTCGCGTTTCCTACGAAAATACCTACAACTTTTTCTTCGGCGCTTTTTTGGTAGGAAATTTCCTACCAAAATCTTACCATCTACGAATTTCTACAGGCGATTTCCTACCATTTTAATGGTAGGATTATCGTAAAAAACTGTTGTTTCCTACCATTTTTTCATGCAACTGGCCGTAGAAAATCTTTGTATTTCTTGTAATAATACCTAGGTGATATCTCATTGGTCCTCACATAAGTTTCTCAAAGAAAGGTGATAAAAAAAAAACAATAACATAACATGTTTTAACTACAAAAACACATAACACACATTGTTTCTTAGTTGACGTCAGGATTATAAAAAATGTTTTGGGTTTTTTTTGGTGTGTGAAGAATGTATTATTTAATTGAGATATCTAAATATATTAAAATTTTATTTGTCAAATCCATTTTAAATTCATTGCATTCACATTATTTTATACTGACATAGTCACATTTTCTTTAAAATGTATTTTCTTAAAATCAGCAACATATTAATACTGGCTTGACTTGAATTAATTGGTAGATAAAGTTTATTTTTCACAATGTGCTACGTTGGTAATTAATTAAGTGGATTATGTCAAATAATTTAGTAAATAATCTATGTGTATTAACTTTGGCTGGTGGAGTTTAGGTAAATAAATAATAAATATAATTTTCACTATATAAACACCTTCATTAAGAAGATTAATATCAAACCACACAACATACATTACATTATATTACTTACAAGAAAAAAAATTAGTAAGTAGAGAAAATGGCACTAAAAGGAACTTCTTCAGTTAATTTTGACGTTAAGTCTCCAGCATCCGACTTCTTTCAAGAGTTCATGGTGAAGACGAATTTTCCTAAGGAAGGCCATGGTAACTAACTCTTCTACGTTACATTACATACATCTCATTGAATTTACATTTTCTTGACTAAAACCCTTATTAATCACTATGTTTCACCTTAGCCGAGATAGAGATTGACACAATAGCTGGTACGGAGAAGAGAAGGAATAGGTACAAAATGAGCCGCTTTCATATCACAAAAGATTGGTACGAGACTATCAAAGAATCCCTCCCTGATGACAAGACGTGGCAAAACCTGGATCGTTTCAAGCAGCTTGAAGGAACCATGACTGTCATTGCTAAGGAAGGTGGTAAAGGAGCAGAAGGTGTGTGGACTGTTGAGTACGAGAAGACCCGGAGTGAGCTGGACGTCCCACACTTCATCATCGACACTTGTGTCAAGTTCTTTAAGGTGATGGATGAGAATCTTTTGGAATTATCTAATTAGAAAAACTAAACAAGTTAAATAAAGTTGAACCCCATATATAGTTCTATATAATCTAAGCTTATTAATGCAGTGTATGCAATAAGCTATTTTATCATTTACAACAATTTTCATTTAAGATACTCATAAAGCTTTCAAGATATAATATATAGATTTGCTTGTTACTGTTATTTGTATTCTCGGATGCATGGAATAAATTGAAAATACAAATTATAAGAATTAACAACTCTAGACAGTAAAATACATATCACCTAGTTAGGCTTTTGGGACCAAACAAGTTATAGTATATGCAAATCACACATGCTTTTATTTAATCATTCTAAACTATATATCGACTTTTCCTAACGATAAATGTTTTCGAAAACTAACTTATTCAATGAAAATAAATTAAGTAATTCAGTTTCATATGTATAAATATATATTAGAATATCACTTCCATTATTTCATCAAAAACCTATTGGTACATATAATCACATTTATTCATCTTGAATAGTAAATGTAAAATTATGTTTTTTCGCTAAAAACAGAAAATCACATTTATCCGGCAAAATCGTAAAGTCACGTTTTCTCGCCAAAGATATTAGGAAAGGGAATCGACAACACCTAGGACGTTTGACCAGTTCTCCTCCACTTTGTTCCAATACACGCATACATGAATAAAATCTTGATTACCTAAAGTTCTCCAAGTGATATTCTTAACTCTCTAAACCTATATGATTCTATTCTACCCTTTAACTCTTGTTAAGAATTACAATTTTCTTTTTTGTTCTAACTCTTAGGAGAGTTTCTTAACAATAACTAGTGGATAAGGGGGTTTTCTTGATAAACACGATGGTTCTCTTTCTTCTTAATACTACATTCAAGTTAACCATTCTCCTCTTTTATTTCTTTTATTTCTTTCTTTTCTTTCCCAGAACCATCTATTCTATATTTCATATTCCCCTCACATCTTTCACTAGAACTTAAAATTTATGAAACACATTCCTCTCCTAAAGACTCATCACTTTGTCCTTTTCTTTTCTTTCTTTTTACCATTCACCAATCCCCAAACCCAATTATAACCCCTACCTAGTCCTACCTGATACGAAAGATGCAAACCAGAACTACTCAAGATCATATTCTTGTCGGCTCAAACCTAATACGTTATCCCAAAGCTCAATCCAAAAAGATCTTTCACTCAGAATTAATACATGGCTTGAAGGAAAGTGATAGGTTATGGGTGTGAAAAACTGATCAAAAGTTATGACCAGCTATTTGGATTAACAAGAGTTGTGAAAAAGAAGAAGATGATCCAAATATGTTTATGGTAACCATGAGTTTATAACCAAGACACAACCAAGTAATTGCTAGTCAAAGTTAGGTTTTTATAAACAAGGAACAACATCAAATCAAAGCAAGCTTCAGTTTAGAGTATAATTCAAATCATGAGATCAAAGAATGGTGTGGTCTTAACATATCAGGTTCATACATTTGCAGCAAACAACTATGGACGAGGGCATTGATTCTAAATATAGTGAGCAACAAGACTTTTTGGCTTAATCATCCTTATCCCCCAGTACAAATGCAACAATCCTAAATGCAACATCCTATATCAAACCTCAAATGCACATGCACTTTTATAATCACTCCGTTTTTAAAGATTTTTCTGAAACTTTTTCAAAATTTTAGGGTTTTTGATGCACAAAAATGAATGCAAACTACATGCTAAAACTGCGAAATAAGAAACACACAACACATAATTTAATTTCATCCTAAACCCTCCCCAAACTTAAATTACACTGTCCTTTGTGTAGTAAAAATCTGACGGTTGGCTTTATCTTTTGCTCTAAAATTAGAGTTCAAATCGACAAAATTTTTCTCCAATAATTGGCTCTATTTCTTAATTTGAAATAAGTAATTCAACTATATTTATTTAAATATTTTATTTTAATTTCTACCATAGTTCTTTAATTTTAAAAATTACAACTTAAGTGATGAGAAATTTTCTTCTTATCTTTCAAGACAACTTAAGTGATTTATATTCTTGATACGTATCATGATCTTGTTGGCTAACTTTGAAAACCAATATTAATACAATAAGATATCACAGTCGTTAATCAAAAAAAATTTACAGATTTTATTTGCCCCCTAATCTATATTAACATATGTGCAGCAGTTTTTGAAATAATTCCTAGAGTTCAATAGAATTTACAAAAAATGTCATTGGTATTTATTATTTAGTTAAAATTTTAAAACTAATAATAATTAATTTGTACAAAATCCCTAAAATCTCTACCTAATAAATATCATATTATTTCTTATTTTTCATCTTTTCTCAAATTTTTCTCAAATTTTTTTATATGATCTTATTTGTTTTTAATTTATTTTATTACATAAAACATATGTATAATAAAAGTGCAAATTGTTTTCGCATATATTATAATTTAACTAAACAGAGGTATATTACAATTTGTTTTAGTATATGTACAACATCCCATATCGAGTAAATTTTTTTATAATGGTTCAGAACCTTTATAAATAAGATTATAACCTTCCAACTACGATAACGGGACAATAAACATGGGTTTATTTTTTTCGAATATATGATGGGACAGGTTGTAAGACGGGAATGGTTATTAACTACATACAAAGTTTAAAAATTTTAGCTATTAATATTTAAAATATTTTGAACTTTTTAAAATTTAAATGTTATTAATATTTTAGCTCTACATAATTTGATACTAATATATTATTGACTTTGCCCTTTTCTTAAACATGGATTTAATTTTTTGGCGATTATATGACATGACGGGGTACAAGACGGGAAAGTTGTAATATGCTTCCAACAGATTATATGACGGGACGAGTTGTAAGAAGGAACGGGGCTGAGTTGATATTACTAATGTTATTAATCTCACAATTTAATATGGGTCATTTTACTATTTTTTAACAATATCGATATACAACATACATAGTTAAACAAATTTAGTAAACTTTATATCATGCAAGTCTAATAAGTTTTGAGAAATTGATACCAATAACCTTTTTAATGATGGGACAATTTTAAAACTACCCTTTTTGGAGATCACATTTTTAAAAATACCCTAGTAAAAAGATCATTTTTAAAACTACCCCTGTTTTGGTGCAAAAAGACGATTCTGCCCTCATTTGTTTTAACCTAAAAAATCTCTTCTTCACCAATCTCTCTCTCGACGGCGAAAACCCGACTCATCTCTCTCTGGACTCCGACTTCGACTCCATCTCCTCTCTCTCTCGACGGCGACGGTGACTCCGACTCCGACTAATTTCTCTCTCGACGGCGATCCATTGATGTTGATTTCTGAGAACCCTAGTTTACAATTCATCCCGTCGCCGACTATCTCTGCGTTTCTTCAAGCCCCTGAACTTATTGTTCTCCGTCGTGATTCATTGTGCTTGGTCGTGGTGTACTGAGATTTGGTGTGCTATGCCGAGATGAATTGTGCTCTACTCAGTTCGACGTGGTCCGGTAACTCACTTTCAGCATCACTTCAAACTTAGCACACAAATTCGCTTCACTCTATCAAATCACGGCCTAGATTCTCCTATAACAGTGAGATGGTGGAATTGGTACTTTTATATACTTTTAGTTTGGATATAATCAGATTTGAATGTTATAGACAAGTGAGGTTTAGTGAAGGTATCATATTTAAGAGATCGGCTTCAGTATGGCCAACATCTCTAATACGGTCTGCATTTGTTAGTTTGCTGCATATTTCTATGATTTTATAAAAGGATGTTTGTTAGTGAAGATGTTTTGCATCTGCACTCGAAATCAAATGGAAAAGATAAGACATGTTTTTAGGTGGTGGAGTTGAATGTGTGTGATTTCCAATATGATTAGTTCATAGCAAACAGTTTGTGAATTTGCAAGCAAAAGAAAGGTTGTTGTCTTTAGATAGGGAAGAACCATCTCAGTCTGAGACATTTGTAGCAAGGGTACGAATCTCCAGCTGCAAGACACTAACAAGCTACTGAGGTAGTGAATGTTTCATTGGTTTCATTGGTTTCATTACCTTGCCCTATTGTATAATCAACTATAGAAGCTGTGAATGAACTGTATCTAGATATATTCATGGTTTGTGTTGCAGGATTACTGTTGGATATTAGAATTTTGGATTTATTCAAGAAGCTTCGAGCTCTGTTTTTAGTCTTCGACCAAGAGGAGTGGAGACATGTAAGAGCCAGCCTTGAGTACACTGGTGGAGAAGTAAGAAGTGCTCGTAGAAAGCGGTATATGTAACGATAGTTTTAGACTACGAAACAAACTCATGTGATAAGAAAATTGGTGCTTAAGCTGAAAAAATGCTTCTTTGTTTGTCATCTAGTTATTATGTGGTTAGTTACTTTGTAACTGGCCTTTTACGTAAAATGTGTGTGACCTTTTTTTTTTAGTTTGTTAAAGGGCTTACGATTAAAGTGTGTATGGATTTACAACATTTTTATAAGAAGAAACTAAGGATATATTACATCTTATTAAAAGCTTTTATAATCTGTATACAAACTTTTAAAATCATGTAAAATTTAATTTAGTAATTTTACAAGCTTTTTATGAAGATTTTATAAGGCTTTTATATGGTTTTAAAAAGTTTTGAAAAGTATTTAAAAGGTTTTACAACGTATTAAAAAGGTTTTACAAAGTTTTATAAGGTGTTGAAATGAATATTAAGGTTTTAAAAACTATTTATAAAGTTTTACAAGATTTTTATAAGGTTTTACAAGACTTTTATACAAATTTTATAAGACTTTTATAAGTTTTTATAAGATTTGTATAAGGTTTTATAAGGCTTTTATAAAGATTTTATAAGGCTTTTATAAGGTGTTTAAAAGTATTTAAAATTTTTATAAGGTGTTTAAATGTATATTAAAGTTTTTAAAATATTTTTTAAAATTTTTTACCAGACTTTTATAATGTTTTACAAGGCTTCCATACAGATTTTATAAGGCTTTTATAAGGTTTTTATATAGATTTTATAAAGCTTTATAAATTTTTTAAAAGTATTTAAAAAATATTACAAGGCTTCTTTTAAGGTATTTTTTATAAAGGTCTTTCATTACGGGCTTACATATTTCCGGAGTATGCCCATACAATAAACCAATTAGGGACCAATTCATTACACCAAAAGCAAACTAAATCAAACAAAAACAAGATCGACCCAGTTTTACAGAACTGCTATTAACCGATCCCCGCGAGAAACCCTAACCTACAATCATAAAACACGATGTAGCCGCCGTCCAAAGACTACAAATGCACGTCGGATCAGGACCTCCGGTGTGCCTGGATGACGGGGGTCAAAAGTAGTAGGTGATCAAGGCTTTTATAAAGTTTTTATAAGGTATTTATAAGGTTTTAAAAACTATTTTAAAATTTTACAAGGCTTTTATAAAGATTTTATAAGCTTTTATGAGGTCTGTATAAGGTTTTAAAAAGTATTTAAAAGGTTTTACACGGTTTAATAAGGTATTTAAATGTACATTAAGGTTTTTAAAAACTATTTAAAAAGTTTTATAATGCTTTTATAAGGTTTTATAAGGTTTTTATAAAGATTTTATAAGTTTTATAAGGGTTTTATAAAGTTTTTATAAGGCTTTTATAAGGTTTTCAAAAGGAGTTTAAGAAATATTTTACAAAGTACAAAGTATTTAAAAGGTTTTACAAGGTTTATAAGGTGTTTTTATGTATATTAAGGTTTTTAAAACTATTTAAAAGGTTTTAAAAGGCTTTTATAGGGTTTGACAAAAACTTTATAATGGTTTTTATATGGGTTTTATAAGGTTTTTAGAAGGATTTTAAAATTATTTAAAAACTTTTACAAAGTATTTAAAAGGCTTTATAAAACAATTATATGACTTTAACAAGTACTTAAAAAACTTTACATGAAATTGTTATATATGCTTCACAAGGATTTTATAAGGTTTCACAAGGCTTTTATAGGGTTTACAAAAATTTTATAATGGTTTTATAAGGTTTAAAAAAAAATTATAATGGTTTTATAAGGTTTTTATAAAGTTTTTAAAAATTATTTAAAAACTTTTACAAAGTATTTAAAAGGTTTTACAAGCTTTTACAAGGATTTTATAAGGTTTTGTGAAGTATTTAAAAGATTTTACAAAACACTTACATGGCTTTAAGAAGTACTTAAAAAACTTTACATGAAATTGTTATATATGCTTCTCGTTATCACTAAACAACATCTTGTAAAATCAATTAAAAACTTTCAACATTTTTTTTATGATACAACAAGTAGTTACGTTCCATTAGTTAATATTTCATGATCAACACACACACACAAAGACTTGGTCTCGCTTTAACAAACATGGATGCGAGTATTATAATCTAAGCTCCAGTCCTTCTTCAAGCTCTCCCATGACTGCAGCTCTTAGATCCTCAACTTCGTCAATTCCACCCTATCAATATCAACACAAAACAAACAATTCAATTCAGTATTATTCCAAGTCTCTTAAGACGTGTGGAGACTCACGAAGACGTGGAAGTTGGGGGTGAAGATGAGAACACATGTAACTACAGCTCTGAAGTGTTTTGAAAGTAGAAGCCAGTGAACATGTTAGGATAAGAAAACAGAGCTATTATAACTGATTATGCATAACTATTTAACTACTATATGCATTGAGGAATCAAAATCAGTTTAATCTTATATGCAAACCTACATGACAAAACCTGAAAACTGGTAGTCATATGGACCAATGAGATCACAACTACGACGGACACTAACATAATCGAAGCTTCGGCGAGATCGCAGCTAATAACACCAATGAACAGAGACAAGAAGAACAACAACGACCTATCACGTCAAAACATCGTTAACCATCTGATGTTTTCTCATAAAATCTAAATTCAAAAAGTTCTAGAAAAGTTTAACCCTTCACAGCAACTAAACCACCAAACAGTTGATAAAGACTATAAATAGGAATTGGAATGCCTATTGTAAAGAATTATCTAATAGTGTAAAATTCTTCAGTCTAAGTTCTCTATCTGATAAACATCAAAATTATCTTCGTTTGCAATGCAATTACCTATGGCGTGATTCAAGATACTGAAAACGCTAAATCAAGAACATAAACAGTTCCTCATATACCAGAGGAAGCAAAAGGAAGTACCTTTGAAAGCAAACTTGGCACTGGGCAACCAATGAGTGCAATTCACATAAGCTTTATGACCTGGAAGCGTAGTAATAATCTGGGCAGTCTGCAAAAAGGAACACAAAACAAGTAAAAGTCATATCTTGCTTTTGAAAGAACAAAAAAGGAGGATTTGAAAGGGTGGATCGTAGAAAAAGGAGTGAAAGAAGCAGACCTTTGGGCTGAAAACAGCAAAAACGTTTTGGGCACCGAAAGAGACGAGACCAGAAGCTCCCCAAGAGACGTTATTGACGACTCTGTTGCATTCTGCTCCTATGAACACTCTCTTTGCTTCGACTTTGGTGTTTTCAGACATCTTTTATAAAAGAAGACTTTTTGATTGAAGCTACGAAGGGTTACGAAGTTTCTCTTCTTCGTTCCTGCTGCTGGTGTTAAAAAATTATGAGTTTTGATAATTAAACAAATGGAAAAACAATCACTTAAGCTATTAAGAAAGTTTTGAGTCATGCAAAATTCTCTTCCCTCATCCATTAGCCAACAACAATTTGCATATAACAATAAGCTTTTGTCCTTGGCAATTTACCAAACACCTTATGTGCCCTCGTTAAATCCTTCTATTTTCCTAGATATCAACAGAAACTTGTATCTCAAAGGCTCAAATGCATTCGTATCAAACTCAAGACAAACATCAGAAAGCAATGAAGAAGAAACGATCAAAGCTGACCGAGGAAGTAATTCACAAACATGATCACTTTCGTGTTGTCTTCTTCGTCGTTCTTCTCACCTTCGTCTTTGCTTAAATCAGACTTTGTAGGTGAGGAGACACATCGATCTTGCGTTGTTACCGGACTGAGTAATGGGTTCACGTCGAGATCCTTCATCGGTTATCTTTTATCATGAACAATTGGTTCTCTCATCTTCTCCAATTCCATCGGAGTTGCCTCAAACCACTCTCCAATTCCATCGGAGTTCTTCTCGAAGCCATCGATGCTCTTACCAGTTACCAATGCCACCAGAATTCTTCGTGATCGTAGTCTGATGGATACGATTCATTCATGGAGAAGCTCAAATCAGAGATTTGAACAGCGACTTCGTTAAACAAAAACAAAATTGGATCCAGCGAATTTGACGAGGATGAGAGAGATGAGGATAAGGTTTTTAAGGGCAAAACTTTCATCAAATTTTAAAAGAGGGTATAATTAAAAATGGCAAAAAAGAAGGGTATTTTTAAAAACTGCTATCTCAAAAGGGGTATTTCTAACAAATTCTCTTTTATGATACTCTCTTTTAAAAATACCCTCTTTTTTTTACCATTTTTATTTTTGCCTTCTCTTAAATTTTAATGGTCATTTTACCCCTATTTGAAAGAAAATTCTTTCTCCAAAGAAGGAATATTCCTTCTAAAAATTTTCCCACCAAAAACATTTCCGCAAAACTTTTCCCGCAAAAAAAATACTTTTTCAAAATTTTCCCGCCAAATTTTTTAAAAGGGTTTACAAGATTTTTTAAAGGGTCTTTTAAAGGGTTTACAAGGGTTTTAAAGGGATTTACAAGAGTTTTTAAATGATTTTTAAAAGATTTGTAATGGTTTTTAAAGGGTTTATAAGCTTACAAAGGTTTTAAATGGTTTTTAAATGATTTACAATGGTTTTTAAAAGTTTTTATAAGTTTATAAAAGTTTTAAAATGATTTACAAAGATTTTTAAAGGATTTGAAAAATTTACAAGGAATTTTAAAGGTTTTTTTAAAGGATTTACAAGAAGTTTTAAAGGGTTTTAGAAGTTTACAAAGGTTTTTGAAGGTATTACAAGTTCTTTAAAATGGTTTTTAAGGATTTACAAGGGTTTTTAAAGGGTTTTAGAAGCTTACAAAGTTTTTATTAAATGATTTATCACGGTTATAATGGGTTTAAACGGATTTACAAGTGTTTATAAATGTTATAAAATTATTTACAATGGTTTTAAAAGGTTTTAGATGACTTTTAAAAGATTTACAAGGGCTTTTAAAGGATTTTTTAAGAGATTTAAAAATATTTACAAGGTTTTTTTTCAGGAATTGCGGAAAAATTGTGGCGGGAAATTTTTTGTCGGAAAATTTTTGGCGAGAAATGTTTTTGGCGGAAAACTTTTTTGGCGGAAATTTTTTTTTTGGCGGGAAATTTTTCGGAAGGAATATTTTCTTTGTTGGAACAAATATTTCTTTCTTCATCATGGGTTATATAATAAATGAGGGTAATTTAGTCATTTTGTACTTTGAAGAGGGTATTTTTGAAAATGGACACCTAGAGAGGGTACTTGTAGAAAAGGGTATCATAAAAAGGTTAGTTGTGCAAATCCCCCATAATTATTAAATAAAGTCCAACAAAATCTATAAAATTTTAAAAACATGAATTACAAAGAAAATGTTTATTCCGCCGGCGGGTCAAAATCTAGTTTATAGTAAAATTGTGGGAGGCCATGTCGGAGATTTTATCTTCCATTGCTGATTTTGTGATGTTACATCAAACATTAAATGATCATGATGACAGAGAAACTGGCCTCTGGTTAACGATTTTCAATTAAATAGTTATCATCGAGTCAATTAGTTTAAAACAATCATGAAATTCACGACAAACTCTTTGCAAATAACCCGACAGATTCTTTATATACTGAAGGATGGAACTCTAGAGGATCAGAATAAGGCTAACTGCTTCCTATACTTTTGATTTTGTTGTTGATTTTAGTTCATGTCTGAAATTGTGATTGTGATAAAGGTGATGTCGCCACGCTTGATCTATCAGTACCGCGAATGTTGTACTTTTCGTATACTCTTTCGCGATTCTCTGACCACCATGCTTCTGCTTGTTGCTCCTTAAATCTTCTTCGGCTACAAAAACAACCATATATTTATTAGTTTAGATCTCTAATAATGTATCAAGATAAAAATTCCAAATATGTTACCTAAAGCGTACACGTTTGAGGTCTCTTGTTCCATCCCCTAGGGCCAATAATGTTATATAAACACCAGGTTCATACTGTTCAATCCACTCCGCCTCTACTTGAGAAGCATTTGAAGCTGATGCTGCTGAGCTTCTCGAGTTTCGGCGGTTGTCACCATCTTCTGAGAAACCATTACTGATTCGAACCCCCTCACTTAAAAGTTCACTCATGCTTGCATCTGTGTTTCTTGGTGATGGTGAATTTCGCCAAAGTCCATTCAGTGAACGTGCGGGCAGAGCCAAAGGCGACGCAAGTGAAGTGTCGTTCATTGAATCAGATCGCGATGGACGCTGTCCATTGGCATTAGCAAAATTAAATCCGTTTTGCTCAAACATGTTCAATAATTTAGCTGTCTGTTTGGTCTCAGCTTCGTAAGCACCCGGGGGTAGCAGTGCAGTTATATTCTTCACCTGGAAAGTACAGTTGAAAAACAAAAATTCAGGACTTCCATGGAAACTTACTGAGAATAAAATATTTCAAAAATGAATAGATCACAGATGGTTTAAGAAAAAAGTTTAAGGGAATCAAGCCAAAACCTGTGCTGTTAGAGATTTTATAACTTCTTTTGCAGCTTCTGATTTAGCAGATTCTTCTGCTGCCCGGGTCAATGCTTCTTGTACTTTCTTCACAGATTTTTGAACTTCGAATTCTTGAACTTCACATCTGAGCCTCAGACTCTCGGCCTAATAGCATCCAATATTCATTTTAAACACAAACCAAAAGAACTTATGGAAACATCTCTGATGAACAAAGTGATGAATAGTTAAATGAGTTTAGACAGAAGAAAAAGATAATGGTTTGAGGTGAGTTTACCTGGGCGCGCAATTTGACTACTTCCTGATTCAGAAGTTCATTTGATTTCTTCAAACTCTCAGCTATACTTGTAGAAAAACCAAGACCAGCTATTAAAGGAATGGGAGTGACTGAACGAGGAGGGCTAGATCTTCTTGAGAAAGGTGAGACAGATCTAGAGCTTCCTCCAGACGGAGTTACTGCTGGTTTTGGTGGTCCACGCCGTAAGTCAGTCACATTAGTCAAAGCATCTTTAAGCTGTAATAGAGGTGTCTGAGAATTGCGAGCAAGAGAGAATGTGTCGGCTTTCTTTCCTTGTCTAGCTGCCCTGCTATCTAGCTGCTTGATCAAGTCTATATTTGATGGTATTCCTGATTTAGCCAATCTTATCTCGGCTTTATCTAATCTGTCCTTGTTCTCACCGGAAAGTCGCGGCATAACATTCTTCCTACCATCAATACTAGATTCTGACACTTTACTTAGTTTAGAGGAACATGAATCACAGACACGATAAGGCTTGCCTGGATTAGGAGCCAAAGCAGCTTTCAGTGATTTCTTGGAACTGCATGAATGGCAGTGGACAAGTCCACAGTTGTAACAATTGTGTCTTTTTCGTGTGAATCCGAACGCCTGTCTACAAGCTGAACATTGAGATTGCTCGGTACCAGAAACCCATTTATGAAGACATATTGCTGCGGTGAAGTTTGAACCACAGGCAACATTTTTTACATGTCTCTCTTTCAAAGCATCAACAAGGGTGGGTGCCTTACGGTCCTCAATATCTCCATGACCTAATCTGCCATTGGCACCCTTGCCCCATGTAAATACTTCATTTCGAGATGTTAAGACTGCTACATGATAAGCTCCGCATGCTATTTCTTCGACACAATCCTTAGTTAATGTATCATCTATTAAGCAAGGAAGCTTCCCATCAGCATTTGGATTCCCTAGTTGACCATAAACTGTACTACCCATCGTGTAAATTTTTCCTGATGTTGTCAAGCCAACTGTTAAACTATGTCCACATGCAACTCTATGAAAAGTATGGTCAATTAGAGCTGATACACATGTGGGTTTAAGTCGAGGCTCATTATCTCCATGACCGAGACGGCTCTTATCACCATCACCCCATGTGAACAGCTTTCCTGATGAAACACTTGAACTTGATTGAGTGACAATGACTTCTACTATTGCAGCAGCATGCCATACACCACAAGCAACGGCAATAGTCCTCAAACCAGATAAAGATTCAACTTCTCTTGGGTAAAATACAGTTTCCTTGTCGCCATGCCCTAGAACACCAAATGTCCCATCTCCAAAAGTAAAAAGCCGTCCAGCTGACGTGATCAAAGCAGTGTGCCACGGTCCACAAGATACGGAAGCAACTTGAAGACCTTCAAGAGAACCTGATATTCTCTTTGGTATCCAGTGACTTACATCGGTACCATGGCCGAGAAGTCCTGCATAGTGTGTTCCATCACCCCATGTGTAAATCTCTCCTGTCATTGTGACAGCACACATATGAAACTCACCACATGCAACAAAATCAACAGTAGTAGAAGCTAGAGACTCAATAAGCTGTGGCCCAGTAACATCTTTTCCCATTCCATGGCCAAGACATCCTCCAGATGCTTCACCCCATGTAAAAACCTCACCTTGCTTAGAGACTAGAGCAGCATGCTTAACACCACAAGCTATGTAATGAACATCCAAAACTACATTGGATTCTAATGGCTTTGGAATCAGAACATCAGACCTTGAACCAACACAACTAGCATTTTTATCAGCCATGACTCTAGCAAAATTATCACATAGCACTTCGCCCCATATATAAACATCACCTAAAGCATCACAATCATCTGGAGCAGAGCCATGACTCGAGCTGCTTTGAACACTAGAGACACTAACCCGGAAAACATCTGATCCAGATCCTCGTACTAACATATTTGGGCTATCTGATGCCACATGTGATCTTTCAGAACTGACAGAATTCTCAGTTCTAGAAGTCCTGGGAAAATTATTTGAATTGTAAGGAGTCTCAACAACGTTAAAATCTTTAGAAGCACAAACTGAGCTGTTGGTAGGACTACTTAATGTCAAGTCTCTACTATCCTGGAAATGATGAAAATGAAACAAAACCAAAATGGGAGTTATTTTGAGAAGAGAGGATTACATTTGCACCATCAATAACACTGACGTTGTTCGCATTAGGAATGCTTATTACTTACAGCAATAGAGAGGCCTCCATCACTCCAGCCGTCAATCTTAGAGCGGCCAGCCTGACCAGATATCAAAGCTTTTAAGCCAGCTATCCACACCTCTGCCTCAACTTTGTCCTTACAAATCTGAAAACAAACCAACCTTTTGAATTCACAAATACAGAAACAG